TAATAAATCTAGTAGTACAGATTTGAATCATAGTACTTAAACTAGACTATAAATAGTAATTTGTATAACTATACCAACACTAAAATATAGTAATATAACAATATATAGAGAAACAATTAATTTATTGTTGAACTTCTATGTAGCGATAGTAAAAAGTAAATTATTTATTTTTAAAAACTTGCATATATATAAAGTATTGTCTGTAGATTTATGACCTTATTTTTTGTTTTTGTTTTTTTGGCCATTATAGTTCTAACTTTATACCAAAATAAAAAAGGATATGCATAAAATGTTTATTTATTACCAAAAATCTACTAGTATAGAAAATTGAGCATTGAATTATCATTAAGGTTGAAAAAATCAAATGTAAAACATTTATATATTATATTCTAACATTAAAATCAAAAAGAATAGCCATGACAATTTATTATCAAGAATTTGCTAGAATAAGGGTGGCACTAATTGAATATTTAATGATAGTTATTCTTGAAGCAATTAAAGCAAAAAGAATAAATATAAAGTATTCATTAAACTTTTTTTTTATCAAAAGATTTTTTGTACTACACAATCACAGTATATATTTAAAATTTTATCATATTCTTTTATTTTGTATTCAATTTTTGCTTCAGTTAACAAAATGGATCATATTTATAAAAATCGCAGTTATACTATTACGTTCAAACTTGATGTAATTGCTTATGTGGAAGAAATATCTAATCATCATGCATCAATATTTTACAAAGTTAACTGAAGGCGGGTTCAAGAATAGAGACAACAAAAATTAAAGCTCGAAGCTGTTAAAGAAAATAAAGATATAAATATTAATCAAATATGTGTTCTTAGTAGCCATAGTTGAAAAGCAATATATCCTGGATTAGAAAAAGAATTAGTGAATTATATTAAAAAAAAAAAAGAAAAAAAATTTGTAGTTACAATGTCTATAATTAGAAAAAGGCAAAGGAGTTAGAAAAAACTCTAGATATTAGGGATGCTAAATTTTCGCGTAGCTGGTATGATTATTTTAAAAAATAACATAGTTTGGTGAAACACAAATTGCACAAAAATTTCCCGAAAATATGCCTTTAGTTATTAGAGACTTTCTCGAAGTTTTATGTAAAAAAACAAATGTTATTAAAAAAAAATTTATTATCTCTTTTGATGAAATATCTATGTGGTTCAACATGCCTCAGAACTTGACAATAGATTTTCAAGGTGTTCGTGGGGTACTAATCAAGACCACAGAAAGTGATAAATTGTGTTTCACTATAGTTTTGGGCTATATAGCTTCTGGAGTAAAACTTCCACCTATGATAATATTTAAATTAAAAAAAAAACCAAAGACATATTTCTACGAGATATTATTGTCGCAGCAGCACCCCATGCAAATATAAAAGATGATCTAATAATTTTGACCTATATACCACAAGCTGTTTGATCAAAACCAAACAGTTTTTTTAAAGATAAAAGCATTATATTCATTAATGATTATCAAAGTCATGTTCATGATGATATAAAAAAAGTATTTAAAGCTGAGGGGCTAGATCTTTTGGAAATATCTGGAGAAACAACTAGTGTTTTGCAACCACCAGATGTTTTAGTTAACAAGCCATTTAAAAATAGAATAAGACAAAGATAGAAACAATAGATTGATAAAAGAAAAAAAATTCTTACTAAAAATGAAAATTGTAAAAAAGCCTCATACGAACTTGTCTGTGAATGGGTGTCTAAAACCTGAAAGGAAATTAGTTTCAATATTTTGGTTAGGTCTTTTGAAGCAGCTGAACTTACGCTTAATCCAGA